TTTTTTTTTTTTTTTTTTTTTCGTTTGTTATTTCCCCGGTTATTAATTCAACGCGTCTGGTCGCGGGACGGCCAGCCGGCGGCGGCGGTCGATCGAGCTTTGAATGAACCGAACGAACAGCTGACTCCACGCAGGAATTGGGTCGCGAACGTGCGGTTTCGAACTTTGAATGGTATTCGGCGTTGGGTGAGTAATAGCGACAGGAGGCGGCGGAGGCGGAGGAGGGCAGAGAGGCGGCTGTCACCGACATCACTCAGTGTCTCCCTCCTGGCGTTCACTTCGCTCGATTTTATGACTCTCTCTCATCCCGCGCGGCACACTTCCACCCCCCAGACCCCTACGGCTCTCTGCCCCCGTTGCGTTTCGCGACAGTACACAAGCGTCCCTATCGCGTTTGCATAATGTCGCGAATCGACGTGTATCCCTTTTCATCCTCCTCCTCCTCCTCCTCCACCCCCACGTTCTTCTGATTTCTCTCCTCTCGCTGATGATTTTTCTTTCTTTCTCTTTTTTTTTTCCTCTTTCTTTTTTTCACTTTTTCTACGTTTCGATCTTCGGATCGTCTTTTTTTTTTCCTTCTCGGTTCTCGATCGAGGAGAGGAGAGAAGACTGGAGGTCGAAGGATGCCGTCACCGGCGAAATATGAAAGGACCAGGGCCGCGAATCTGGTTAATATTCGACCGGATTAAAGGATGGGCCAGACGTCGTTGCGTTTAATCCTCGCGCTTCTCGCTTCTCTCCTCTTCGTTGTTTTCTCCTCTTTCTTCTTCTTTTTTTTTCTTTCCTCCTTTTTTTTCTTTTTCTTTTTTTTTTTCTTTTATGAACATATTTCGTCGTGGGATTCTTAGCAAAGGTTTATTAATATTTCGAGATATTCGACGTGATGACCGATTCGAAGGATATAATCGGTTGGTTTATAATCGCAAAAATTGCATCTCCAAGAAGGTTAAACGGGCACGTACATATATACATATATACAGGAGTCGGTTGGATGAAAATATTTTCGGCCGACGATGAAAGCGGAGAGTCGGTTAACGTTTCGTTTTTGTCCTCGCGATACGCATCGGCGGATTTTTCGCGCGGTGGTTTATTCAAATTACAGCGCGACCTCGATTATCCGACCGAAATGGCGGACACTTTGTTCGGATAATTGAACGTGATTACGTTTTAACGAAGCGAGGAACGATCATCCGTTGCATTAATAAACCAGCGCGACGAGCAAAAACTGGTCCATCGCTTTTATCCAAAAAGCTGTTAGCTTTTCGACTATTTTTCCTCTCCAAACCTGATTATTCGTTGTTTCATGATCAATTAATTATCGCGTGTTAATACGCGCGATAATATTTTTTTCTTTTCGTTCGTAGTGTCACATTACGGCCGGTAAAATGACTAAACTTTTGTGCGAGTTATATCACATAGGCCATCCAGTTTGCGCGAATTTTATAAAAGAGATGAAAGACGAACGATGATCAAAGGGATAAGGAAGAGAAAAGTCTGTCGATAAATACGGAGAAATTGGATTAAATTGATTCTTAAACGCCGTGTATTCTTCGTTAATCCAAACGAGTGTACGCTTCTGGAAAATAGGATAATTACACGTTTCGTGCAGGAGAGACGACTATTCATTTCAACCGGGCCCCAAGCTTTCGATTTATAAATTCGGTTTAAAAGTCAGCATTAGATAATTGTAATCTTCCTTCGCAGGTATACATTTGTCATTAAGTCAATGCCTAATCCTATTAGGGACAAGTAACACTTGTATTGTAAATTATTTTCGCTTCGTTCCCAATATTTTGTTCCCAAATTTTACTTCCAATCTACGCCCAATATAAATTTCTCTCGAAATACAATAAAAATATCTGCTTTCGTTTATGACTTTGAAACTAGAATGATATTACAGGTTCGTACAGTGGTCAAATTGGTTACCAGGTCAACACCATAAATGGTCAATAACCATAAAACCGGAAGATTTCTGAAAAGGACTCGAACGTCTCGAAGAATTCTTAATTACCACAAAAATGCACGAACGAAAATTTTCAATGATCAATCCTTTTCGAGATAATTCAAGATATAGAAAACAAGATATAGCTCCCTCCCAGAAAGATTAATGGCCACTATATCTATCAAATATGATCTATACCTTTCATAGTAATTCAAAATATGCAAAGCTTCTCTCTACGCCAATGTTTTTAACAATTATGAAAAGTAAAAGCGAGCGAATCTCTCCAACGTCGAGAGCACCACGAAAGAGCGGATCTCTCTCTCTCTCTTTCTCTCTCTCTCTCTCTCTCTCGTCGGTCGAAACACCATTTATCCGGTTAATTCGTAGGTGTTCCGGACATTGTCGGGGCTTTACCTGGCACGGGACACTTCGAGCCTGTTATTTCGCAATAAATCACACTGCGAGATGGAACCGAGCTTGTCGATAGTAACGAGGGATTCTCCCCCGTGCGATTTGGCCCCTCCGCGAAGTAAACATCCACGAGCCATTAAACTCCGCGTAATACCCGAAGATGATCGATTCTTACGTAACGCACGGAAGCCACGGCCTATACTCTTGGCTAATACCATAAAAATCAACCCAGCCTTTATTTTCCCGCTCGTCGAATTTAAACGAGTTTTCTACGAAATCAAGGGGTATAAATTGTACATTAAGTATATATATATATTATTTGGAAAAATAATATTCGCTATTCTCTCTTCTTTAAAATACACGAAATAAAATAAAATACACGTATATAAGAGACAATTCGTCGTTGAAAAGTCGTTAGTTCTATCTGGAACAATTTGCAAGAACGAAAGTCTTCTCGATTATAATAACTCGATGCATCTCGAGTTGCAAAAAAAATTAATCGAGAATGAAGAAATGCGGAAAGAGGATAAAAATCAGAGATATTCCATAATCGACGGGATATACGTACTTGCACCGTTCCTCTCGCCCATCAGTCGAGGCGAACGGTTAATTTCAACCATCAAACATAGTCTGAATTACTCGTTATTCGGTTACGAACTTTCTCGAGAAACTGCCTCTCCGTACCTGGATCGATCGATCGTTACGTAACCCCCGAACGAGAAACGAGCAGCGCGCGCTTCATGGAAATGGAGTTATATTAAGATGGAAGGCGTTTCCGAACGGTACACAGGGTATAATACAGAGGGCCGAGGCGATGATACAATGGGGATGGTGGTGCCTAACCCGTCCACTGTCCCTCGCGTAATTCTGCGAAACACCCCTACTCCTCTCTGCCCCCCTCTCCCCAGCGTCACCCCTATTGTGCCCACAGGCATAACAATGTCAATGTCTATACCGTTAAGCCATCGACGAAACGTGTACGCGGTGTACCCCAATTATTTCATCTCCGTGATACGGTTTTCGTTAGCCCTGTCAATGATTTTCCATTCCTCCCTCGTCTCGTTCTTTAAATCTTCAAACTGATCTTTTTTACGTGGTTCGCGTGCGAGTTCTTCTGTTTTCGATTTTTCTTTCGTCCACTCTTCTTCCGTGTCTTGTCTTTTGTTCAGAGTTGTTCGAGACCGAAGTTGGGTATAATATAATGTATCCGGATTCGAAACGCGTTTAAATTTAATTGCACAGTAAAAAAAATTGGGAAATAAATTTTCGTAATAAATCTATTTCATCGGTGAAAGTATTTTTTCTTCTTTTTTTTTTTTTTTTCAAAATAATATATGGACATCATAAAAATACTTGCTTACTCGATATTATAACCAATAAAACTCTGTACGAGTCGTAATAATTTTAATTTATACCATTTCCATTCCATTAATTTCACTCGATTCCTATTTAATCAT